TCTGCCTGGGGCTGTAGGATGGTAGAGGAACAGGACACCCAGGAGACTTGTCTAGCCCGTAGTGCTCCTCCTCTGGCCCTGCAGAAGAAGGGTTAATCCATTGTACCTTTTCCCCCCCTCTTCTCCTCCCCTCAGGTCACCTTCTCAGTCAGAGACTTGGCTGGTGGCTCAAGTTCCTCAACCAGTGGCCCTGAGTAATCAGAGCACACAGAGGGGCCAGGGGCCTGGGGGTGGAGAACATAAACTGAGGGCAGAGGGAGCCTCAAGACCCAGAGGCAGGGGGGTTCTATGAGGCTGAGGGTTTGAGGAGCACCCCTGGTTGGTTCCCAGTACTCCCTACCAGACCCAGCTCTCCACCCCCACCCCCACCCCATCTCTGCTCTGATCTCAGTTTCTTCCACCCACTGGGGGAGAATTCCTCGAATTCCTCTCCTGGACTGTTGAGGGGTGGGCAAGCTGGGAGAGTAGTGGGGAGCTTCCAGGAAGCTTTTCAACTGCAAGAGATGGGGGTCCCTCCCCCTAGTGCCGGGAATTGGCCATAAATAGGTCTGTGGTCAATGAGAGACTTCTGCTAATGGAACCTGGATTGTCCCACAAGCCACAAAAATGGATTTTTTTTGGGGGGGAGGCCTGGGGAAAGTGACTTAAGTGCAACTCAGCATGGGGGAGGGTGCTAACCTGATGTAGAACTGAGGGTCAGAGGAGTGAGGGGAGGAGAAATGGGGCTTAGGGACTGATTGGGAGGAAATTGGGGTCAAAGGAATGACTGCAGGGGAATTGGGGTCCAGGGAAATAACTGGAAATAAATCTGGGTCCATAAAGTTATTGGAAAGGAATTGAGGGGATCAATGAAAAAATTAGAAGGAGACTGGATCTAAGGGTATATTAGGGGAAGTGGAGGGGGGTCAATGAAATAATTGGGGGGATTATGAGTCAGGGGTTAGAGAGGAAGTTGGGATCTCAGAGAGTGCTTGCAGGATGTTGGAGCCTTGGATAGCTCAGAGGAATAACCGGGCCAGTTATTAATAATAAATAATAATAAGGGAGAGGACCCAGAATTGGGGTGGGGAAACTGAGGGAATAGATTGTAGATGAAAACAAAAAAGTTTGTGTTAGGGGCAGGGAGGGTTGTTGGAGTTTAAGGTCATCCTGGCAATGGGTGCTGAGGACTGTGCTGGACCCACTTCACCTCGGGAAGATGGGAACTAGGACTCCCAGCCCTAGGCTGGACCCCTGGGATCCTCCAGGGCCTTCTACTCTGTTTTCAACCCTCTCTACCCTGCTGGAACTGATGACAGGAAAAGGGTTCTGGACACCCCTCCTTACCATCAGCCTCCCTTTCTCACCGCCATCAATTATTCATCAGCCCAGAAGACCGCCCTCCCTGGCAGGGCAGGCTGGTCCTCCTCTCGAGGCCCCGCCCTGTTTCAGCCACACTGCCACAGAGGCCCCTGACAAGGAAGGACGGCCAGCCAGGCACAGAGATCTGACGGAAGAGCTGAGTGACTGGCACTGCTGGACCTTGCTTGGTGCCACCACTCTTCCCCAGCACCTTCCCCATTCTTCTGCCAGTACCCTGGTGCCAGCAAGCCCCCCTGAGAAGATGCCCATCCAGATCTTCTGCTCTGTGTCTTTCTCCTCTGGAGAGGATGCCCCAGGGTCCTTGGGAGATGTTTGGGGTCCCCGCCAGCGGCAGCAACGGGATAACTCAGAATCCGAGGAGGAGGAGGAAGAGGAGAAGGAAAAGGAGGCAGCGAAGGAGGAGGCCAGTGAGGGGGATTTGCCTATGGACTTGGTGGCCTTTGCCAATAGCTGCACCCTCCATGGCACCAGCCACATCTTTGTGGAGGGGGGTCCAGGGCCAAGGCAAGCCCTGTGGGCAGTGGCCTTTGTCCTGGCACTGGGTGCCTTCCTATGCCAGGTAGGCGACCGCGTCGCTTATTACCTCAGCTACCCACACGTGACTCTGCTAGACGAAGTAACGACCACGGAGCTGGCCTTCCCAGCAGTCACCCTGTGTAACACCAATGCTGTGCGGCTGTCTCAGCTCAGCTACCCCGACTTGCTCTACCTGGCCCCAATGCTGGGGCTGGATGAAAGTGATGACCCTGGGGTGCCCCTTGCCCCACCGGGGCCTGAGGCCTTCTCTGGGGAGCCTTTTAACCTACACCGATTCTACAATCGCTCCTGCCACCGGCTGGAGGACATGCTGCTCTATTGCTCCTACCGCGGGGGGCCCTGTGGCCCTCACAACTTCTCCGTGGTGAGTGGGGGTCCATGCCTGATACAGCACCCAAGGGTGTCCACCATGGCTCATTCTGACCATCACCTCCTGGGGCTTATGACCCTTCTACACCCTCCCCCACCCTACGCACTCTCTGTGATGTGCCTGGGAGCCCCAGGGTCTGGCGCTAGGTTGATATTCCCAGATCCACATCAGTACAGCTTTCCCTATTGGAATCTCCAAATACATCCATACAGGTTGGTAATTAGCTGCTCCCCTGAGGCCCCTAGTGTTTCCCTGAATATCCTCCAGCTTCTCTGGTCCTCCCCCAGACCTCCCTGTGACCCAGCAGGGCCCCAGGACCTTGCTCCACCTCTAAGGCCAACGTTTGATCTGTCGGTGGGTGCCCACACCTGACTAGCTGTTAACTATTTTGACTGTTACCCCTGGACTAGAGCTAGAGTGGGTGCCATCTGGTCTCTGGAGGTGCCAGGCCAGGAGGTGGAGGGGGCAGGGCAGCAGCCCCCCTCTACCTAGCACATTCGTCTGTCCTCAGCATGTCAGTGGCTCCCACAGTAGGAAGCAGCCCTACTTGTTCTTTCTGTGTGCCCTCCTCCAGGATCCCTGCCTCCTGCTGGGTATATGTCTGTCTGTCTGAGGTAAACAAAAGGCCTCCTCTTAATCACTTCTATCTCACCCACCTCTGACCAAGGAGATAGGGACTTCTTACTCAGGGAAACTGTCACTGAAGAAGACTGCCTCCCACTCAGCCCTCCCACCCAAGGACCTAGGGCCTTCCCTCCTAGGGCCAGCACCCCATACTCTCTCCAAACTGGTTTCCAGTTCTGTCTCGCTTGACTCTTCTCTTGCCCCACTCCCAGATTCTCAAGGCCTTCCCCGCCCCACTTCTCCCTAGTGTAGGAGCAGATGGGTGTCATATCAGTGCATTGCGGACTGATTACAGACAGATGGAGACATGGGAGATTTTAGCTACTGCACCTCAGGTAGTCCAAGAGATACAGGAAGAGGGAGGAAGGAAGAGTTCCTCTAGGCCCAAGAGCAGAGCAGACACTTCTCATCCACAGCCATCAGGTGGCAGCAGCAAACTTCTGTTTAGCAGCACAGCCCTCTGCGTTAGGGCTCCCAGCCAGCATTGTTGTTATGTGCCTTGGAGTGGGACTACTCATAGTGACCCCTCCTTGGGTTTCCGAGGCGGTATCACTATGGAAGTAGATTGCCCAACCTTCCTTCCGAGGAGTGGCTGGTGGGTTTGAACTGCCAGCCTTCTGGTTAGCTGTCAGCTAGCTCAAATCCCTCACATCTCTGGGTGGGGTGTAAAGTTGGGGTGTGTGGCTAGCCCGGAGCCTATGGCTGAGTGTCATAGGACCTGGTAGTAGGGCTGGGTGTTCAAAGTCCTCTGAGTCATCTCTCAAGTTCATCTCTAGATTCACCCACAGAATGGAAAAGACTAGAATGTTTTATTTTCTGGAGGGGGGTGAAGGGGGAGAGCAAAGACTATTTCCTAGCTATCCCTCCCCATCCCCCACCCTGGGCTCCAGTAGACCCTGAAAATCTTTGTTTCTCTCTTTCTCTGGACTGTGTCTCTATTCACCTTAGGACTCACTCTGTGGACTTTGTCACCATCCAGCAGCAGTAAAAACATACCCACCCCACTTGTATGAACTTGGGGCTTTCATGGAAGCTGTGATGAGAGGGCCACGGAGAATTGGCTCACTTTTTTCTGTGTGGCTGTGTAATCAGAGCTATGATAAGGGCTACACTGGGGCATGGAGTGTGGAAAAAGTTAAGAGAGTCTGTCCCATGGCTGAGAGCTCTTCTGAGGCCCCTACAATTCTGCAAAAGGATGACCAAATGTGCCACACTTTGGGTGGTCAGTCTCAAATGCTGAGTGAGTGGTGCTGGAACTTGGATGGACATGGTCTTTGGCATGGTAACTAGGTCTACTTTTGGGCTCTAGTAACCATGGGGCAATGATGAACATAAAGGGCTGAAGGAAACAAAGGCTTAGCTTAGTTTGGGAGATGATCTTAGGGAAAGCAAGATTTCATATGCTTGGGATGAAATTCAGGAGAAGAGATGAGATGTCTCAGAAGGCCCCATGAGTTCAGGCCTGAGTGGTATGGTCAAAGGAGGGCCCAGAGGTCTTGCAATGATAAGATCTTAGTGAAAGAGGTGTATATGTCAGGATCCTGGCAGGGAAAAGCTTGCCACTCAAATAGTTCAATGACAAGACTTTAACAAGGGACTGTTTACAGAGCTGTGGGCATATTAAGGAAACCCATGACAGAGGCCAATGCACTAACAATAGTGGGAAACTGTTACCATTTATCAGCTGAAAAAGCAAGGGGTGGAAACAGTGCTATGGAAGGAGGCCTCCTGGCAGGATCTGTAGACACCAAGAGTGAAGCTACTGTTGAAATACAGAGGGGTAGGAGATAAGGATGAGTACCCCATCTCTCTCTCTCTCCCCATCCTCTGATCTCTTTCTGATGCCTCCCATTGCCCAAACCCAACTGGAAGCCCATCTAGGTAGCAAAGGAGCTCAGGTGATGCACCCTACAGGGCCAGCTTTCCAGGGCACATGGCACGGCAAAGAAGGGTGGACAAAGGGTGAGAGACAACAGCAAATGGAGAATGCCTTGCAAAGGAGGAATGGTTCCTAAGGGTGTTGAGATTCTAGCAGCTGGGGGAGTCTGGGGACTTGGTAGGCAGGGGGTGCTGGGCACATTTCAAGCTCTCCACTCTGCCTTGACAGGTCTTCACGCGATATGGAAAGTGCTACACATTCAATTCTGGCCGAGATGGACGGCCGCGGCTGAAGACCATGAAGGGTGGGACAGGCAACGGGCTGGAAATCATGCTAGACATCCAGCAGGATGAGTACCTGCCCGTGTGGGGGGAGACTGGTACGTCCTGGTGTCCCCTCTCATAGCTCCTGGCCCCAGCCTCAGCCAGGGCCTCCTGGGCTCTACTGTGGGTCCTCCTCCCTTCCTCCCAGCATCTTGCCTTCTGTGTCTTTGCCTCTACTGGTCTTCCACACTCACATCTCTCTAGCTCCCCTTTCCTGGCTCAGTTACTCTCCAAGGTAACCAGCCATCCTTTTCCATCAGTGGCCGCCACTAGTTCTATAAATAACTCCCTCTCCCCTCTCTTCTCCGGCTGCCTGCTGTCTGTCTGGTCTCAGGTGCCTTGGGGCAGAGAGAGATAGGAGAGAAGGGAGGAAGGGAGAGAGAGAGAGATGGAGAGAGGCTGAGACAGTGACGATCAGAAAAAAAGGAATTTGAAACCCCCAGATTTATAACAGAAGCCAGGTAAGAAAGGAGGTGACAAGGATGTAGGGGTCATGGAGCAGCAGAGGGTTGGTGGACCCAGAAGGAGGCTACGGTGAGCAGGACCCTACAAACCTCCAAGCCCCAGCATATGTTATGCTTACTCCCAGGAGATGAAGGATGTCCCCAGCTCTAGAGGAGACTAGGGAGTTTGAAGCCCTCCCAACACCCCCTCCCCCTATTCTCACAGATGAGACGTCATTTGAGGCTGGCATCAAAGTGCAGATCCACAGTCAGGATGAACCTCCTTTCATTGACCAGCTGGGCTTTGGTGTAGCTCCAGGATTCCAGACCTTCGTGGCCTGCCAGGAGCAGCGGGTGAGAGGGCCACGGGAGGCTGTTCCCAGGGTGGGTTGTTGTGGGATCACAGTGCCATGGTGGATGATCAGTAATGAGAGAGACAGGTGAGTTAGGTCCTGGGTGGCCATCTGGCTAGTCAGAAGCATGAATGAATGGGAACGTTCTGTAAACCTTGAGGCCCTCCAAGCCTGCAGAGGGAGAAGGGGCAGAACTCCTAAGTCAGAGAAGCACATCAAGGTGACTCGGGAGAAGTCCCCACACCCCCCAGCTCCCTGGCTCTCCCAGCAGCTCATCTACCTGCCCCCGCCCTGGGGCACCTGCAAAGCTGTTACCATGGACTTGGATTTCTTCGACTCCTACAGCATCACCGCCTGCCGCATTGATTGTGAGACGCGCTACCTGGTGGAGAATTGCAACTGCCGCATGGTACACATGCCAGGTCAGGCCACAGTGCTCCAATCACAGTCCTGGGGCCCCTTAGCCTGCCCTACCTCTCATCAGCTTCCCACCCATCAACCTCCTGACAGCATGGGAGCAAGACCAGCTGGCTTCTCCCCACCCCACTTCCATTCCATTCCATACCCATCTGGCTCTTGTCTCTCTGACCTCAATTCCTGCCTGTTACAGGGATGGAATGAGTCCACAGGGATGAGTGGGAAGGGTCCAGGAGGGATGGACAGTGTGTATGTGGGGTGTCAACTCCAGGATAGACTGGGAGATGGCTATTTCTACCGTCTCATCCTCTATAAACTTCTACCTTTGGGACCTTTGGTACTACCACCACCAAAAGACCCCCTTAATCTCCCCTCTGCACCACTGCCTTTTCTCCTCTCTAGGGGATGCTCCATACTGCACTCCAGAGCAGTACAAGGAATGTGCAGATCCTGCTCTGGGTGAGTGCCCTGCTTAGGACAGTCTGGGGGAGGGAAGGAAGTGCTGCCAGCCACATACACAGACATTTCAGACTAAGCTCCCAGAGATTTCAAATAACTCTTGGACCAGGCTTTACCCTCCTCTGTGTTTCACTTTAGCAAGGTTGTGAACAGCATCTCCAGAAGGCCCTTATGAAAAATTAGTGGGGGGTCATCTGAGAGGGGCCCTTATCTTCACTCATCAGCATCTCAGCTGGTTGATCCTGGAGGGCTCTGAGGGAATGAGAGGATTAAGAAATGTCCACAGAGAAGCTGGGAGAAGATCAGCAATGGGTGGGCACAGGGCTGAGGTGAAGGACAAGGCAGGAAGAGACATGGGCCTAGGGTTCCTTTGGGCAAGGCTAGGATGTGCATGTTGGGAAGGTGCTGGCAGAAGGGTGCCATTCAACGGGGGCCTGCCACCTGGCTGGGGCACAGACTTCCTGGTGGAGAAGGACCAGGAGTACTGCGTGTGCGAAATGCCCTGCAACCTCACCCGCTACGGCAAGGAGCTGTCCATGGTCAAGATCCCCAGCAAAGCCTCAGCCAAGTACCTGGCCAAAAAGTTCAACAAGTCTGAGCAGTACATAGGGTAAGGGCTCTGACTGTGACCTTAAGCTGGGGATTGTGAAGGGTATGAGGGGTTTGATGGGGGGGCAGGCAAGAGGAAGTTGAGATGACACGGGGAAGGCCCAAGGAGACTGGGTGGGCAGAGAGGGAAGATCAAGCCAGAATAAGCAAGGGGAAAGCCTCCTTTCTCCCCCTCTCCCTTGGTCCTCTGTTTTTATCCTCATTACTGTTAACTGTGGTCACCTCACACTTCCCAGTGTGCACAGTGTCTTTTTGTATACAGTATGTCATTTAATCCTGAACAGTCCTACAAAGCAGGTAGTTCCGTTAGCATCTCAGTGTATAGAGGTTTGCTTACTAAGATCACCCAGCAAGTAAGGGACAGAGATATGACTTGAACCTAGGTCTCCTCCCCCAACCCCACTGCAGGGAGAACATCCTGGTGCTGGACATTTTCTTTGAAGTCCTCAACTATGAGACCATTGAGCAGAAGAAGGCCTATGAGATTGCAGGGCTCCTGGGTGAGCTGCCAATGATATCTGTCTCCTGCCTGTGCCATGGATACAGACTGACTCCCCACCACCCAATGCAGGGTGCTAGCTTCTGTCACACGAGGCTCCCCCAGCCCCAGAAGCCTTTCCCAAATCCTGTTGTCCTGGTATATGGGGAGAGGCACCTGAGCTTTCTCTTAGACAAAGTAAAAGAGGCCTGTGGGCATGAGTGCCAGGCAGGGGGTGGAAGTGGGGACTGTTTTACATGCCCCTGAAAAGTGGACAAGACAGTAAGTGTGTTCAGTGATTTGGTAAACAATTGTTTTTCCTGAAATAATATCTTCATTTTAGAAAAGTAGAAAAATTCAGGAAAGCTTTGGGAAGACAGTAAAAAGCCCTCCAGAAGCTGCCTTTGCGCTCCTTCTGTAGCAAGGCTACCAATGCCCTGCGGTTACGACCTGCCCACCCCTGTGCCAGTGAACCCTGACACCCCCCACAAAAGGGTCCAGATCCCACTGACCTCCTTGTCCCACAGGTGACATTGGGGGCCAGATGGGGCTATTCATCGGGGCCAGCATCCTCACGGTGCTGGAGCTCTTTGACTATGCCTATGAGGTGAGCGGGGCGGGAGGTCGATGGGCGGGGCCAGGGCGGGGCCGAGGCCGATGGGCGGGGCCACGGGACAGAGTTCCAGCCCGCCCACCCCCACCCTGGCCTCTTGCCGAGCTCAGGTTCTTAAGCACAAGCTGTGCCGACGAGGAAAGTGCCAGAAGGAAGCCAAAAGAAGCAGCGCGGACAAGGGCGTAGCCCTCAGCCTGGACGACGTCAAAAGACACGTGAGGGAGCAAGCGAGGAGCATCCTGCGGCCCTGCCTCCATTCCCCCACCACCCCAAGACCACGCACCCCCCTTGGCCCCTTCTCTCCTTTGCCTCCCCAACGCCCCAACACCATCTGTGGCCTTTCCGATAACCAGTGCCCCTCCTGTCTCCTTCCCCTAGAACCCATGCGAGAGCCTCCGTGGCCATCCTGCCGGGATGACATACGCTGCCAACATCCTACCTCACCATCCGGCCCGAGGCACGTTCGAGGACTTTACCTGCTGAGCCCTAAAGCCCACTGTACCAAAGGCCTAGATGGGGAGGGCTAGGAGAGCAAGGGCCAGCGCTGCCCCCCATCTGTCCTGGGGACTCACTCCCCACTCCCAGGGCAGCTCCCCCCGCCCCAACTCCTAGGCAGTCCTTTCCTCTTGTCTGTGGTGAGGAAGGAATCTTGACCTTAGAGTCGTCTCCCTGCCTCTATCCCATCCTTTTTATTTTTAACAAAACTAAATTAATATAAAAGAGACAGTAAAAAGAGAGAAAGGGGTTAAGGGACCTCAGGCTGCCCCTCTCTGTCCCATCCTGCCTCTCCCAACTCCCAGCCTGAATTCTGTCTGTCTGGCTGTCATCTGAGTGTCCACCTACATTTGCTGCCACCAGTCACCAAAGCCTCCTCCCTGTGGGGGGTTGAGGGGATCATTGGGGTCTGTAACTTTGCCCCAAACTAGAGAATGTACCTTGAGGGGGAGGGCTAGTGGGGGGGCTTCCCCAGCCTTAAGAGACCCTCTCAGCCCAGTGACTCCCCCTCCCAATCCCAATGCTCCGGGCAGGAACTAAGACCCCAGTCCCATCACCTCACACCATGTGGAGTCCTTAGGGGGCTGGGTGGGGGAATCCCCTGAAGTGGAGATGGTGGCAAGGTGTGGCCCTGGTGCTGTAGGCCACATCCTGATACCTACAACCTCACCATCACCCCAGAGCTGTAGCTGCTGGAAGGAAATCCCCAAGAGGCAGCCTTCCTCTATAGCTGTCCCATTAAAGACCCCACTGGTTGGCTTCCAGCTCAGGGAGAGGGGCACTGGTGCCTGACCTCACTAGTCCCTCTCCCAGGGGCCCCTGCAGAGGGCCACATCCATAAATTTTCTTATGGAACTCCCCCAAGTCCTCTTCCTCAAATCCATTTGCTTCTCTCAACAACCTCATCTGCATTTTCTATTTCTATATGATACAGACTCTATATTGCTATATCTCTGTGTATATATTCCCCCAACCTTGTCTGTCTCCACTCCATCCCCTCTTGTCTCTGAGAAACACCCCCCAACACAAGTCCCCCTTCTGTGTCTCTGCCCACTCCCTGGTCTCTGAATGCCTTCGCCTGTATAAAGAGTTGGACTCTCTCCCCTGGTGTCTGTACTGTGTACACACATCCCTCTGAGAAGCACAAGGAGACGACACGCGCATTGTAACCTTGCACTGTCTCGGTGGCAACATAAAGGAAGCTGTGAATCACAAGCTCTGCCTCTTTCTGGCCTCACCCTCTCGCCACAACCTGGGCCCCCTCTGCCTTCCCTGCAGCCTTAACATTCCCATCCCTTGCTCCACCCACCCCAGTGCCCTTTGTCTGACTGAGTTTGGCCTCCCCAGGGAAGTGATTGTTACAGAGATAGCCCCAACCGGGGAATGAAGACACTAAGCCAAGGAGAATTCTTCCCTATCCGGCAGCCAGAGTGTCAGAGACAAAAGGGAGCTGGGGATTGGTAACTCTGGAAGCTGGGTCAGCAGGGTGCCGATAGGCAGAAGGGGAGGTCCTCAGTCAGTGGCCTTTCCCTCCTGGGTGCCCAACCCCCTTTCCTCACCTGATACTCCAGCCCACCACTCATATTTTCTGGTGAGGTGGGATTTAGTACTGGGAGAAGACAGGCCTACAGGGGGTGTTGAAAGCTCTGATGTTCTGTTCCTCCCTCCCTTAACAAGAAACAAGTGAGAGAGAGCCTGCCTCCCCACCAGGCATTCTTCCCAGGTCAGAGCTTCAACCCCTTCCTAGGCCTTTTCTGCCCAACTGTCTCTTGGTCTCCAACCCCAGGATAGGATCTGTGGGCAGGTCACCTGTGCATTGGCCTGGAGCTGGAGAGTAAGGCTGTTGGATCTTGGGGAACTCTTGGTTCGTTCCTTGGAGACCAGACCTCCCCAGAGGGAAGCAGTAGCAAGGCCAAGTGTGCAGTGGATAAAGGAACAGCAGGCGGGGCTCTGGGTGACGCATGCCTCTGGTCTAATAAACTGGGTTTCAACAATCTCTTCTTCAGTGTTGTTTTTCACTTATTTGAAAAGTAGTTAGGTCTTCTCACTAAGTGCCTAGTGCTGAGCTTAGCTTGGGGCCAATCAGAGGTAGTAATAAGGATGAGGAGAGGTCCTTACCCTCCTGGATGGGGTGGGCTGACCACTGGAAGGGAGGAATGGTTTGAACTACTGGGCAGGAAGAGAGGAAGGGGTCAAAAGCAGCAAAGACCTAAAAGGGAAGTCCTACCATAAAGGATTCTTCGGAAAGCAGGCAGGATCAAAATCCAAGATAAACTGGAATGTAAAATCTGGAAGCAAGTTAGGTTAAAGGCCAGGGACAAAGCTGGGCTGCAGTTCCAGTGTGAGGTGTTTGGTTATTAAGCCACTTTATCTGTGGAACGAACCCCGGGCTAGGAGCCAAGAGCTCTAGATTCTGGGCATGATGTTGCTGTAACTTGCTGGTTGACCTTTACCAAGTAATTTATCCTCTTTGAGCTCACTTTTCCCGTTTGTAAAATGAATAAATAGCGCGTTCCTCTCTGTCCCCCGGAGTTACAGCGGTAAGGGAATGAAACGGAAAACAATCAAAGCGCTTTGGAAAGTTAAAAGTGCTGCGCCAAAATGATGCCTTACTCCGCCACCCTCTTCAGAGAAATAAGACTGGGGCTGTGGTCCCTCTTCCAAGTCCTTCTCTTCCTCCTATCGGCTTGGGGGCGCCCGCTCCCAGGGCTTCTCTATCCAGAACTCTTCTCTATGGTTTTCCCTCCCGGCCCGTGAAGGCGGGAGGGAGTGGTCAGCACAGCCTTTTCCGCTAGTCCCCCCCACTCTAGCCTACAGTCTCGCTGCCCTGAGCCTCCCGTGCCGGCCGGCCGGCCGGGCGGACAGGCAGGCGCTCGGTGGGCGCGCAGGGGGCAGGGGGAGTTCCGGTTCCGGTTCTTTGTGCAGCTGCAGCGGCGGCTCCGGGGAAGATGGCGGCCCGGGCAGGTTTCCAGTCAGTGGTTCCGAGCGGCGGCGCTGGAGCTTCAGGAGGGGCGGGTGCGGCGGCCGCCCTGGGCCCGGGCGGGACTCCGGGTCCCCCAGTGCGAATGGGCCCGGCGCCGGGTCAAGGGCTCTACCGCTCCCCGATGCCCGGAGCGGCCTATCCGGTGAGTGAGGCTGGAGCAGGGGCGCGCGGTCTGGGGGCGGGGCCGAGCGGGGGCCTGGGAGTGACAGGAGTACGGGGAGAAGTAGGAGGGACTCTCCCGGGAAATATGCAGGCCCTGGATGGGGGTGGGGGTGGGGGTGGGGGAGGCATCCCCACCTATTTCTAGGGGCATTGTTTCCGTGGGAAGTAAAGATATAGAAAGTGTGGATGAAGTGGGGCCAAGGTGGATTTGATATCTGGAGGGCCAAGGGGTTTGAGCAGCTTCAGTATTCAGAGGAAGACAGAAGGTGTAACTGACAAATTGGGGTCAGCTTCTACAGAAATAGTAGCTGGTGTAGTAACTGCGGGACTAGAAATGATGGCTGATATGCCTGATCCAAAATAGATTAGGGAGAATTTTAGCATAATTTGGCTGTTTCTCAGCTTCTGGGTCATATTCTATGAAACCACGAATGAAGTGGAGAAAACACAAGGTGCCAGCATTTCAAAGAGGCAGAGGGCCGTCCTCATTTTCCTCCCCCTTACACCCCAGCCCTATTTCATTCAAAGAACTCAGACACCCCCTACTCTCCCTTTCTTGGTGGAGTTAGCAAGGGAGGCCATGACATCTCTGGGTCTTCTCCCTTCTATAGAGACCAGGTATGCTGCCAGGCAGCCGAATGACACCTCAGGGACCTTCCATGGGACCCCCTGGCTATGGGGGGAATCCTTCAGTCCGACCTGGCCTGGCTCAGTCAGGGATGGATCAGTCCCGCAAAAGACCTGCACCTCAGCAGATCCAGCAGGTCCAGCAGCAGGCAGTCCAAAATCGAAACCACAAGTAAGATGACCCTGGGGAAGAGGGAGGGAGGAAGGGAATAGGTCTGTGAGGACACAGGTGGGAGTATGGTGAACCAAGAATTGCTGTTGCTGTGTCAGCAGTGCTGGGGAACTCATTCTGAGAATGCTTTGTGCTACTTGGGGTGGGGTGGGGGGTAGTGGTTCTTTGATTTGAGAAATGCTTTGCTGCTCCTCCATTTTATATAAATGGAGGTGGTGACAGCTTGTTTTCATGTTCTGACTAGTACCAATCCAATCTAATTAACAGTATTTACTCTAAACAGTGCAAAGAAAAAGAAGATGGCTGACAAAATTCTACCTCAAAGGGTAAGTCCAGGCTGTAGGTTTTCTTGAGTGTGTGGTGAGTTTGAGAAGAGATGGTCAGCTCTAGATCCCAATTATATCTTTCTGTTCCTAAGATTCGTGAACTGGTACCAGAATCTCAGGCCTATATGGATCTCTTGGCTTTTGAAAGGAAGCTGGACCAGACTATCATGAGGAAACGGCTAGATATTCAGGAGGCCTTGAAACGTCCCATCAAGGTAATGCAGGCGTGCACTAGGCAGAGAGCCAAAGGAGAGGACTCGGAAACCTTCAGCAGGCTTAGGATGAGAAATTAAAGGCGCAGCACAGCTCTCCTTGGCATTTAAATTGCATCTCTTCCTTCCGCCTACAAACTGAGAATTCCATTAGGAGCATCAGAACACAACAGCAAGGGGGAGGAGCTTTTGATGTTTCTTGTACCAGAAATACACCCTGTCCATGTTTTTGCTATAGCTCTCTGTTGCTTTTGGGACCTGGCACCCTGCATGACTTTGTCTACTTGGCATCCCAGTGTATGTACTTACGTTCAGGCCAGTGGCCTGTATTCCCCTTCTAGATGGACTCTTCATTCACTCACCCCAGGGACTGAGTGGACAGTAAGCCAGTCTATTAGGAGAAATTTTGGGATTTGGGGAGACCTTGGTTTTTAGCATCAAACCACTGAAGCCCCACCATCAACCCTGTTTCTGCCTTCTTCAGCAAAAACGGAAGCTGCGAATTTTCATTTCTAACACTTTCAATCCGGCTAAGTCAGATGCTGAGGATGGGGAAGGGACAGTGGCTTCCTGGGAGCTTCGGGTAGAAGGACGGCTCCTGGAAGATGTGAGTTCAAGGTCCACCGTGGTCGGTGTTAGGGTGGGAGCTGTTGGGAACGAGGAGTATTGTCTGGTCAGCAGGAAGCCTGACTGGTGCTTACAGCTCCTGTTGGGAGCAGTAGGGAGAGGGACACTCTGTTCCCTGTACTGGAAGACAATGGTTCTTTGTGTGTGGCTCTCACAACTTTGGCCCTCACTGTGGTATCATATTGAGAACCTTATTGTCCAACGATCTTACTGATGCTGCTTGCTGGCCATTGGATTTATCAGTATCTGCAGATTAGTTTTGTTTTTATTTCTTTTTTATTAAGTGGATTTGCACCTGGCTTTTGAAGCCATGATTTTCTCCCTGAGTCATTGAGGTCCTTGATTCCCATTGAGGCATCTCCCTCTTCCCAGCTTTCACTGGAGACACCTCACAGTTTAAGTGACAGAGATTTCTCTGACAGGCTCTTCGGCACTTCATGAGGAGCATCAGCTGACAGGTGATAGCCCCCAAACTCCCACTCCAGCAGCTCCTTGGGGAAGCTTACTTTGCTCTCATTCCCTTATATTCCCTAGCTCTCTATTTTTAGCTGCTCACAGGCAACCTAATTTGAATGCATTTTTGCAGAACCAGGGCTCAGTATCAGAGCCTCCTTCTTCTCTATATAGGTCCAGTCCATCTGCTGACGTCATTCCATCCAAATAAAGCTGTTTTTGTTCTGGCTGCTTAGTGCCTGTGATTAATTTTCCCTCTAGAATCAGGCTTTTCTGTGTTGAAACTTGCTTTGTTGTTATATGCAGTGATTGGCCTAACTTGCCTCATTTTCGTTGGAGAAATAAGGTGCATAAGTCATTGACCCTATGTGTGTTACAGGCTGCTTCTCCAAGACTCTATTCACTGGTTTAATACCCACAGAAGCCCATCATGCTCTCTTAAGAGATATTTAGAAGATATTTCAGAATGTTTTCACATTGCTGTTGTGTGTTTGTCTTGGGAAGTTTCTTCTAGTCTTTTGTAACAGCTCTCCTCTCTCTCCTCTAGTCAGCCTTGTCCAAATATGATGCCACCAAACAAAAGAGGAAATTCTCTTCCTTTTTTAAGTCGTTGGTGATTGAACTGGACAAAGACCTGTATGGGCCAGACAACCATCTGGTAGAAGTGAGTAGTTCTGCCTTCTAGGCTTTAACTCTGACTTGGGAGTCAAATTTTACTATCTAGAGAGTTATTCTTGTTGTTATGTGCTGTCAAGTCGGACCTGACTCATAGCGACCCCTCCTTGGGTTTCCGGGGCAGTATCACTATGGAAGTAGGGAGTGGGGAGACAAAAATTAAAGGTCACTCCAGGAGCTCTGGTAGCATAGTGCCTGAGGCACCTGACTGCTAACCAGAAGGCTGGCGGTTCAAACCAACCAGCCACTCCTCGGAAGGAAGATGGGGCAATCCACTTCCGTAGTGATACTGCCTTGGAAACCCAAGGAGGGGTCAGTATGAGTCGGGTTTGACTCATACCTACCAACCAACCAACCAGGTGTACATTACCACCATTGCAGTTTACACGGTGCCCTCCAGGTGGCACTCGTTGTGCTTAATTCTGGTGCTGAACCCAAGAGCACTTGCAATATAACTTGTCCCACTTTTTTAATGTTGCTATTTTAGTTGCACAGAAAGCTCATTTTCTGCCCCCACTTTAAGGGAAATTCTAATGGAGGCCTCTTATATATTCCAGGCCATCTGTATCTTGCTTGTTAATGATGAGACCTCGTTATCCACAGAAACATTCCTACTTTTTCCTGGTAGAAGTTGGTATAGTTAAAGGGTTGAGTAATAGAATGCTAGTACTTGTCAAGGTTACCTTTATAGATCTGGAACTTCCTATTGGTTCCTGCTCCATTTAGATTCCAAAAATTTTGTATTGTGCTTAATTGCATAATGTTCTAAAGACACATTTCTTTGGAATATAGTCAGAATCAGAATGAGACAATCCAACACTCCAAGTCAACTTTTCCTGCTCCTTTCTTTGCCAGTATAGCCACAGCCCCTTAATCTCAGCCAATAAGAGACACAGGAAGATCTTTACCATCTAATCAAGGAAGGAAGTTATGAATCAATTGTAGTTGTTGTTGTTAGGTGCCGTCGAGTCGGACCCGACTCAGCGACCCCTCCTTGGGTTGCCGAGGCAGTATCACTATGGAAGTAGATTGCCCAATCTTCCTTCCAAGGAGTGGCTGGTGGGTTTGAACCGCCAGCCTTCTGGTTAGCAGTCAAGTGCCTTAGGCACTATGCAGCAATTTGTAAATATTTTTCACTTAATTTCATAGTAGTAGAGAATAGTGGCTAAGAACATGGATACAGAATCAGACACACCAGAGATCAGATTGCAGTTCCACCACTTAATGGTTGTTTGACCTTAAGCAGTTACTTCACTCTTTTAAGCATAAGTTTTCTCATCTGCAAAGTAGGTATAATAGTGACTATCTCATATGGATGTTGTGGGAATTGAATGACATAATCGAAGTAAATGGCTTAGAATACTCTTGCACATTGTATTTAGTAAATAGTAGCTGTATTATGTTACTTTGTATGTGTATATTAGCTATTTTGTGGATGAAATCTTCACTGGAAATTCAGGCTAATTGTGACCCTGAGTAGTCAGAATTAAAAGGTTAATCTCTATTATATATACATAACATTAATCCCAAAGCCATATGCAATTTTTAAAAATGCTTCATACTGCTGTTCTTCTCCAGTAGTCTCAGTAATCAAAACTTGAATATTCAGTCATTACAGAAGCTCTTCCCTCCCACTCCAGCTCTTCCTCTGGGAGAGCACCCCCTGACATCTTCCTCTCTATAGTGGCACAGGACCGCCACTACCCAGGAGACTGATGGCTTCCAGGTGAAGCGGCCAGGAGACGTGAACGTACGGTGTACTGTCCTGCTGATGCTGGATTACCAGGTGTTGTGGTGTGTGGGGGTCGGGTGGGGTGGAGGGAGTCAAGCTTTCACAGTCATATCCCATCAGCATTTCTGGCATTGAATGGTTTCAATCTAGGGAAGAATTTCCCACCAGACTTTTATGGTCATGAATAATCTCCCACCATATTTTTTAAGTTTTCTAAGTACAGGAACAAATCTTAATCATCTCTGAATTTCTTCCAGTATTTTTCTGCCTCAGGGAAAGGAAGTGCTACATTAATGTTTGTTGAATGGGTTAAATACATTGGCCATGCTAAGACCCCAACTGCATATTGACTCATCTCACTAACTTTGTCCCTATGCTCTGGTTCTCTGCAGCCTCCCCAATTTAAATTGGACCCTCGGCTGGCTCGGCTCCTGGGCATCCACACCCAGACCCGTCCAGTGATCATCCAAGCACTGTGGCAATATATCAAGACACATAAGCTCCAGGATCCTCATGAGCGGGAGTTTGTCATCTGTGACAAGTACCTGCAGCAGGTGAGTAAAAGACCCTTTCTTTTGCAGGAACCCACTGGAGCGCTAATGGTGCTCAAAATGCCAACTTCCAGCTGCTGCTTTTTCCCACAGATCTTTGAATCTCAACGTATGAAGTTTTCAGAGATCCCTCAACGGCTCCATGCCTTGCTGATGCCACCAGAACCCATCATCATTAATCATGTCATCAGGTGAGCTCACGTATGAGAGGCAGTGGTGTGCTGAAGGTGGCTTTCACCAGCTTGTGAGAGCCAGTTGTCAAATTTTAGGAAACTTGCAGGCAAGTTTTTAAATAGCCATTACTTAAATTACAGAAACTTTAATATATTTTATTAAAAAGAAGGATGATACATACTCAAAATTCAGCACTTGCTATGTATTTTATTACATATTACTGTTAATATGTGCTATCATAGTTATTTGTATCTATTGTGTCTTTATGGTAGAAATAGCATACATAATAGCATGCCACTGCACATCTCTTCCCAAGTCTGTGATCACTGACATAATGTTGATAGCTCAAAATCAGCCCTGGGAGGAGTATTTTAACTACAGAAATGGGCAATGCTACAAATCAGGGCTTTTTTTTCTCCTTTGGAGCATCACCTGTAAACATTGACCAGCTCATCACTGACAGGAGCAGTCAATAACAATCTTTCCTCTGGATGGTAGAACATTCCCATCTGAGACTCCAACTCCATTACCTACATCCACTTTTTTGTTCAGAAGATGAGGGAGTCAGGCATCTCCAGGCGGACACAGAGTAAAGGAAGGCACTTCTTCAGAGCAGCATCTCTCTGTGGTTGCATATGGTCTTTTTGTCTTCTTTCCCTTATTCCACATCATGCCTGGAGCTAAAGGCTCTCCTTTCTTTAGATCCTCAAATCACTCACCTAATAGTAACTCCTAAAACCTGTAAGGTGGGTCTTTAGCAGTGGTTCTGTCCTGTGTTCCTGTGCTTAGAAGTTAGATTAGTTTTTATTTCATTGTGTGTGTGTGTGTCTGTGTATTTTGTTTGAATTTATTTTCAGTGTCAATTTTAGTTTAAAAAGGAGAAAGGTATTCACCGAAGTCTCAATAAAAAGTTAAGAAAAGGACTCAACCTGTATGACCATGAGACCAGAACCACTCAGAGGGGGATCAGTGCAGGAGATCCTGGACAGAGTAGGAGAACACTGTGGAATAAAACTCAAAATCATTAAAAAAAAAAAAAAGACTGGGTTTGCTGGTCTGATAGAGCCTGGTGAGACCCCTGAAACTATGGCCTATAGTTACCCTTCAGGTCTAGAATTGAGCTACCTCCTGGGGCCTCTATCCAAATAATAGACAGGCATATGGGCTGAACATTTATTATTTATATCAGGTAGATACATTCCTTGGAGAGATCAATCATGGGAGACCAGAAGGGCAGTGTTTGCATAGGGAGATAGCTCGGGGTGCTGGAGTGCATGGGAGGCAAGGACACTGGGAAGAGGTAGCTACAGGGAAGAATTGGGAAGAGAGCTGTTACCTTGTGAGGAATTGCAGTCAATGTCATGAAAGAAAATGTGTATGAACTGCTGTATGAAAAATGAATTTGCTCTGTAAACTTTCACCCAAATCACAATAAAAATTAAAAAAAAAAAAGGAGAAAGATACATAAGACATTATAGCAGTGATTTCATCTAGGAGATAGGAACTTTTTACTGTGTATCTTTTATACCATTTTTAGTTTTTGTCATTCACCTTTTTTTTTTTAAGTCATCTTTATTAAGGTCCAATTAATATATAATAAACTGCATTTATTTAGAGTATAGCTTAATGACTTTTGGCAAATGTGTACACCGTGTATCTACCACCACAGGGAAAATATAGAACATTGCTGTCACCCTCAAAAGTTCTCTCATGCCTTTTTGCAGCCAGACACTCCCTCCCCTTTTATCCCAGGTCATCTTTTTAGGGGACAAGCCCTTTATCAGGCCCCTTTGGTTTACTCCCCAGTGTTGACCCTAATGATCAGAAAAAGACAGCTTGTTATGACATTGACGTGGAAGTGGATGATACCTTGAAGACCCAGATGAATTCTTTCCTGCTGTCCACTGCCAGCCAACAGGAGATTGCTACTCTAGACAACAAGGTAGGGGCCTCTGCCCTCATCACAGCTTCTAGGCTGCTTTCTGATGTTCTTTATTCACTTAAAATATTGTGACCCCCCAGTATTTGGCAGGTACTATGCTTGGTGCTGGCTAAAGTCAGACACATGTGAGTTCTGATTTTGACTATATGTTTCAATAGCTTTTAGCCTATCTTCTGATCTGTGTAATAGAAGACTTTTTCTATTTTTAAGGTTGATAATGAGGGTAAAATGAGAGTATGTGTATAAACGTGCTTTGTAAAGCACATGACACTATGCCTCAAAAAAAAAAAAAAAAAAACCAAAACAAATTCACTGCCATCAAGTCAGTTCTGACTCATAGTACCCCACTCCACCCCCACTCCCCAAAAAAATGGATTGCTGAAGCTGTAAATCCTTACGGAAGTAGATTGCCTCATCTTCCTTCCGTGGGGCGGCTGGTGGGTTTGAACCACTGACCTTCTGGTTAGCAGCCAAATGCTTTTTGCACTATGCCATCAGAGTTCCTTTGACACTGTGCCTGGCACATAAAAATAAAAAATAGTAATTGCTAATACTGTTGTTATTATCATTGACATCATTAAACAGAGCCCCTGCAAGTAAAACCATATGTGCTCTGGCAACACAAAGGAGAACAGGGAAACTTTCCTGAAAGAGCTGATGCCTCAACTAAATCTTGAAGGACAAAGTGGAAGTTAACAAAAGGGGAGAAGGATAGTAGTTCCTGGGAGAAAGGGGGTAGAGGACATTCCGGAAAGAGGGAACAAGGTGTGTAAAAGTCTGAAGATATGAAAAAGCCTGGCATATTCAAGAAGTTAAAGCTGTTCACTGTGCTAGATACAGCACAGGGTGCCAGGATGGAAGTTTTGGGAGAGGAAACTAGATAGTGACACAGGAGCATTGATTCAGGGAGTACTGGTTAACACTTCATCCTGAAAGCTAAGCTGAAAGATCTTCACCACTGAAGAGTCTGATTCCATTTGCTTGGAGAATTACTGGCAGAAAGGTAGGGAGTGAATGGAAGAGGGGCAGATCTGGAGGGAGGGACTCCAGTTAGGAGGCTGGTACAGTAATCCTTGGAAGGTAGGTTGAGGGCTTAAAGATGGGAATAAGGAGACAACTTTGAGAGTTATCAAAGTGGAATTGAAGGAACTTGGCCATTGTTTGGATGGGGGTGGGAGTGAGGCGGAAGGAGGCACCATGCTGACTCCCAGGTTTCCAGCTTGGATGAATAGTGGTTTTCACTAGACTAGAGAACAGAGGAAGAGGAGAAGAGGTGATGGATTTAGTGTTGGATACGTTGAGTTTAAGGTGCCTTGAGATGTCAAGGAAGCAGTTGGGTTGGTTGGAGTTTAGGATATAGATTCTGGATTGCCGATTAGCCTCTCAGTGGTAGTGAAAGACATGAAAGTAGGTGAAATAGTTAGGAAGAATATTTAGAATGAGAACAGAAGAGAGCTGAGAACAAAAGTTGGGGAACCACAGCTTTTGATACAGCCCTCTATAACACTTCTTTTCTAGCAGAGTGTTTTTGGACCCTTTTGTGTTGTGGATTAAGTATCCACTGTGTAGCTTTGCTCGTTGTAGAGAATAAAAGGAAAATTTCCCTCGCATGGGATATACAGAGACACAGAAACAAATGCAAATTACCTAAAGACAATGTGCATACAAGCTGAAAGAATGCTGAGTGCTGGAATAGCCAGCCCTCTGGGCAGTGTTGCCATCATTGGGCAGCAAGGTGTGCCTATGTTGGAAGTGGCACACAGAGACACCAGGGTGTATCTGACATTTAACTTTGCAAATGTTATGACTTCCCGTTTCCTCTTCCTTTCAGATCCATGAGACAATAGAAACTATCAATCAGCTGAAGACCCAGCGGGAGTTCATGCTGAGCTTTGCCAGAGACCCTCAGGGTTTCATCAATGACTGGCTTCAGTCCCAGTGCCGGGATCTCAAGGTACAGAACCAAGGAGAGGTGCAAAGGAATACATTTGCTTTATTTCTGTAGCAGTTCGTAGAAGAGCCTGAGGGGAAAGTGAGGGACCAGGTTTTCATTATGACATTTCAGGATTTATTGTTCTTAAGTAGGGAAATGGAGGCTAAACTCTGGTAGCATAGTGCCTGAGGCATTTGACTGCTAACCAGAAGGCTGGTGGTTCAAACCCACCAGCCACTCCTCAGAAGGAAGATTGGGCAATCTACTTCTGTAGTGATACCGCTTTGGAAACCCAAGGAAGGATCACTATGAGTCGGATCCGACTCAACGGCAGTGAGGTTGTGTTTTTTTTTTTTAATGTGCTGTCACTGTGCCCCAGATTGTAGGGGATACAGAAGTGGAAGACCTGACCTCTGCCTTTGAAGCAGCACACATTCAGTTTGGAGAAACTAGACCTAATATGCATTAAAAAGTAGACAAGACATAGATCTCACCAGTACCAATAAGGAGATAATTCAAAAGAGAAGGGAGGTCAAAGAGGCTAGAAAAGCAAGAGAAAGCTACATGGAAAATTTAGGTATTGAGATATTTCCCAGAGAGGGGAGCGTCCATAAGCTCAGGGCAGGAAGGGATGAATGAGCACAGAATGTGTAAAATGTGCCCTCACTCCTTCCCTGTGGTCAGTGGGACTACAATTATAGGCTAAGCACAGGAGCAAGGAAAAGAGGTGCCAGCAAAGAGTCCTGAACAACAGTGACTTATTGATAGCAGGGGTCGAAGGAAAGAAAAAAGTCTTCTCTCCTGCTCCCATCTCTTTTAGACCATGACTGATGTGGTGGGGAATCCAGAGGAAGAGCGCCGAGCTGAATTCTACTTCCAGCCTTGGGCCCAGGAGGCTGTGTGCCGATACTTCTACTCCAAGGTAAGTGCCTCGGATGATGCACAGGGAAAAATGACAAAAGGATGTGGGGGGCGGTTTGCACCTCTGATGGAGGTCCATAGTGTTTTTTATCAACTTTTGGGATGTTTCATCTTCTATCTCTTACACTGTTTCCTCCTTAGGTGCAACAGAGACGACAAGAACTAGAGCAAGCCCTGGGAATCCGAAATACATAGGACCTCACCCACAGCCCTGAATTGGCTGCACCGATTCTTTATTTGGGCCCTGTGCTGCCTGCCTCGTAGCACCTGCCTTGGTCTTGGTTGGGGCCTTCCAGGGGATGCTGTTGGTTCAAGGACAACACCAGAATGAAGAGGGTCTCACATTTCTGTCTTTTGAGATGCCTGTTATCCTCTTCTCCATCCCATCCCTTCCTACTCCCCAGCTTCCTTTTGCCCACAGAGTTCCCATGTGCCTCTCCCCTCCCCTGGTCTACATAGGACCTTTAGATAGTGTTAGAGAGAGAACTTGTAGTGGTAATCAGTGCTCTGAATGGATTGGGCCTAAGGCCAAGTGGTCTTCAAGGGGACCAACTACACTGATCCTGCCCTTCAGAGACCCAAGAGTTGGGAGCTTTGGCTCCTTCTCTAAGACTCAGGCTTAGGGGCACTCTATAAGCTAGTTGATCTTTGCTCACCTGGTAACAGAATCCAGTTTCCTTCCTTCCTTCCTTCCATAGGTTCGGAGCAAACTCTCCTTTTGCTTACTGTCGTTTAGCACTAAAGGAACCTTGAGTCTTGGGCTCCAGTGAGCCCCAGGTCAGTTCCAGCCCTGTGGATTGGCTGCTATCTTAGTGCTTCTCTTACTCCCTAGTAGGGGGTCCACATCAGTATTGGAGTTTGTTCCATAACCGTTGCTCCCACCCAGCATATTCCCCGTAGCTGCCCTTTTTAGCATTCTGTCATATCTGCCCTAACTTGGGGTATTTGGGTAGGGGAATTTTGCCTTTCCTTTTCAGAGCCCCAGTGATCTAATCTAGGGTACCGCCATTGCTAGCAGAGGCTGTTCCTGCTATTGCTTGGAGGTATGACTCATTCATTCACTCCACCCTGTCTGCCTGCACCCTCCCCAAATCCCTTAAAAGAGAAACAGGCCTAAAATCAAACGGGTAAAAGTCCTGGGCCATCCCTGTCTTCCTGTCCCTTTTCTGCCCAGTTGACACCCATTGGTGGCTTCTAGGGCACTGAGGAGTGAAAGCGCCTAGGGCTGGAGAATAGCTCTGAGTTGGGTTTGTGACTCTTACCTATCCCTGCCTCACAGGATTGTGACTCCCTAGCCCTTGCCCTCAAAAGCTTCAAACCCCTCAGGTAGCAGCAGGACCTTGTGATCTTGGCCCTTGGAGCTGAGATGGTTTTGCATCTTTATAGGAGAGCCTCAGATTCTTCCAGGTTGTATCACCCCCAAGTTAGCATATTCCCAGGCTCGCAGACTTAACACAGCAGGGTGGGAGACAGCTGGGCACAGAGGGGGAATTCCGTTCAGCATGGGCTCTAAACCCACAGAACTGACAGCCTCTGCTTCCCCACCCCCTCCTCAGGCTCCTGCGAGCATATCCCTTATCCTTGCCTGTTCCATGCTGGGAACAGAATTTTCTCAATTTTCTCCCCATTTTCCCTTCTGCCATTATCCTACCCCTCCTTTAAAAGGTTCTCCCCACAGTGGCACTGGACAGCTTGTCTTGGGGCAGCTGAGCCCTAGCCCAGCTCCTGGCTAGGAACCATGAGAAGGAAGCTCGGCACCCCTATGGTGTCCCTGTTGAAGATAACTGGTTTTATTAACTGAATGATTATGTTTTTTTTCACGGACCAAAATTTTTTTTGTACTGTGCCCTTATTGATGTCACCCAGTTTTAATAAAAGAATATTCTGAAGGATGGGTGCCCCTACCTACTGAGGGAGAGCTCCTCCTTGAGCTCTTTCCCCTCCTGTATCTTTAGCCACGCTCATGGTGTGTGTTCATTTATTTGACACGTTTATATATTGAGCACCTGCTGTGTAAGGCATAGTGCTAGGTGTTGATGCTATGGTAGAAAACAAGGTTCCTACCAAGTGAACCTCAGGCTCTCACCTTATTGGTTGCTTCATCAGTTCCAGTGGTCCAAGGAAGCCCCATGCTGGTTCAGTTTTCAGACTTCACTCAGAGCCCTGCCCCACTTCCCAAGTTAGGCCGGTACCTGTGAGTGGTCTGCTGTCTTCTCCCTTGTCCTCTTCTAACCTCCCCAGGACACAGGCCTTCCTACCTGGGATGAGCTGTCCTTGGGTGCCTGTGACCCCTCAGGGTTGATGAACCTGAGCTCCTCTAGAGAAGTTCACTTTTCGCCCAGGGTTGTGATTTAGATATGGACCAGGGCCTAGACAACCAGAGAGGTTTGCTTTCTGTTTCTGCCATTTTCTTTAAGGTTCCACTTTCATTGTCAGTAAGATTTCATCTCTTAAGACCAACAAGGAAGTGCAATGTTGTCATCTTCATACCATAGGTAACCAGCCCCTCATCATCAGAGTTTGGAAGACTTGCTCAAGAATGATTCCCATTAGCAAAGGCATGAAATTTTGCTTCAGATCTCTTCTGTCCACCTGTTGGCTCCTTGTTTTCCTCCTCTGTGGCATTAACCAGCTTGGTTCTACCCAAGAAGGGTTTAGAACATGGGTTGAGTACAGTCACATTCCAAAGTTGTAGTTAAAAATTAACTTTGCCTCCATAGATAAGAAAATGGAAGATGTAGTATGTGATTAAACCCACCAAAGATAAACCACTCTTTCCATTCTGGAACTTGGGGGTTTATCAGACTTGAGTAGGGAGAAGAGTTTATGGGCGTGGTAACTTGGAGTGGAAAAAATTGGTGTCAAGGGCATTGAATGGCATCTGTTTTTATCCAGGCTAATGACATGTAATGAATGGCTGATGGACCATTACTAAGTTCAAGTAAATCTATAGTTTGCTCTTGGGAAAGAACTTCAGTGGTATAGGTAACTCCCTGTGACCAGCCAATCCTTAATCTCTCTGCACCCTCTATTTTTACGTAAATGAGCAAATGCTTTGACTCCATACTAAAAATGGCTGTGGAGCAAAATAAGAATGTTGGAACCATTCAGGTTAAAACAAGGGGTATTTTATACATAAACATTCATTTTTCAGGGTTCCTATCCTATGTGCTAGGAGCTCTGGTAGCGTAGTGCCTAAAGGCACTTAATGCTAACCAGAAGGCTGGTGGTTCAAACCCACCAGCCACTCTTCAGAAGGAAGATGGGGGGGGGGGCGATCTACTTCCATAGTGATGCTGCCTCAAAAACCCAAGGAGGGGTCGCTATGAGTCAGGTCTGACTCGACGGCACATAACAACAACAACATCCTATGTATGTGCTTGGGACAGAAGCATCCATTCTCATCCATAATTAGTGCTCCCAGCTGGCAGCCTGGCACGGGTGTCATTCTCTCAGTGCCAGTTCAGTAAGAGAGTGGATATGTTGGATGCAACTTTGTTCTAAGGAAAACTGCTGACTGCTGATTTCATGTATGTTATTAAGGGAACTCCCAGGCTATGGGAAGAGAATATGGTGGACTTTTCTTGGGCAGTCCCTGGAACTTAGAAAATTATTTCTCGCCAATCTTGATCTCCTACCCACTACCCTTACCCAGTGGTTGCACACACAATCCTCTTTTCCCCCAGTACTTACCCTTTTGCCAGCCAGCAGCAGCCCAGGGGAGTGGAAACACCCACTCAGCAGTCTGCAAACCAGGAGGTCAGCACGTGAGCACACAATGGTGTCAGCCCTCTAGGCCAAGGTGCACAGACAGCGAGAGTGGTAGGCCTCTTGCTCCACTCTCCAGATCAGCCTAGAAACCAGGGCTCCCTCTTGGTCAAACAGATGGCTGTGGGCATTGGAGGACCCTGTAACTGCTGAATGTGTTCCTTGCATTCTCCCCTCCCCCCAAAATCACACACACCACTGACTCTCAATTGCAGCATTCTGAGATCACAAAGCTTCACAGAGGTCATGGCTACCCCTGAGGGTAACTGCTGCTTCAAGTCCTGCCTCCCATTTCTGCCTTCTGCAAACTAGCCATTAGCCTGAGAGAGGCCTTAGGACAGTAGCTTAGAAACCCAACAGTGAAGGGCTGTTGGGAGTTCATGGTTTCTCTAAGGCAGTGGACAATTTGTCTACTTTCTTTCCTCTCCTCTTCCTTCGGCCCTGAGTTTGCAAATGGAGAACTGTAGGCCACTAAGTCTCAAAGCCCTCCAACTTTGACCTTTCCCACCCTTCCACCCTGCAAGTTGTTCAGGTAGGGTCATTTGAGATAGCCCGTTGGTGAGAGACCCTGAAATGACCACTGGATAACCAAGACCTTGTCCCTAGGGAATCCTGGAGTCTCTTCCTATCCTTGGGCTGGTTTGTGCCCAAAGCAGGCCCTTACCCTTAGGTCTTACCTTTCAAAGTGGGCCCACCGAGCATTCCCACAGCCCTGCAGTGGAGCTAGTGTGGGACCAGTGATATGTGATCCTTGTCAGTGCTACAGGACAAACCTACAGAGCATTCTTGGGGGTTTTAGGAGGGCACGGGCCCTATAGTTTGAGGCTACCTTTGGAAAAAAAGCACTCCCGTATTTGCTAGGACTTGAGTAAAATTGATCCGTGCTGGGTGACAGGAGGGAGTGTGAGGAAATAAGTCACTGGCTCCTTATCTGGGCTGCTTCTTGGCAGACCTCAAAATCAGACCATGGGGTGGGGAGCAAGGGAGCAAACTGGGCTACTAAGAACCTTGCTGCCAAGGAAGGAATTCGCCAGCACTGTCGGCTGGCAAATCTCAGCAAATGCAGGGTTTGGTCTCTGTCCCATTCCTGTCCCCCACCTGTCCCTACCCTTTTCTCCCCTTTCCCTGGCTCTGCCAGACTCCCTCTCACTGGGTGCTTGCCTCTCCACCCACCCCTTGAGGGTGGGGCTTGGCTGCACCCACGTGTGGTGGAGTTAAATGCTCCTAGCCGGCAGAGGACCCAGGGCGTGTGGCACCTAGCCGGCTCCAGAAGAGAAGCGGCACCATGGCTGGCAAGAAAGTCTGCATTGTAGGCTCTGGCAACTGGTAAGTGGCTCTGTCAAGGGATATAGAGGGGAGGGTGGGTTGCTCCAAGCACACAGTGGCTTAGGGAGTGAGGCTTAGCAGGCAGGAGGCCTGCTTTTTGCTCCTGTGCTTACCACCCCCTGCCCCCGCGCCAGGACAGACGGTGCCCAAACCTCCCTTGGCTCTTGCCTGCTGGACAGCTGCACCTGTTCTCCATAGGAGGGAAGCCTCCAGGGTGCTCCCTGCCTGAAAAGCTGCTTGGGGTTGGGGAAGTGGGGGGATCAGAAGGGTTAACCCCTTTCTCCAGCAGCTAAATGTGAGACACGTTGAATCTCCTTCCTAGTGCCAGGTCACTGGGGACACACACACTCTGTCACGGGAGTGGGGTTGACAAGGAAGGCAGCGAATAAATAATCTGGTGGGCGGCTGTGAGAGACTGTCTCCTGACTAGTCAGCCGACACTATTCCCTCCCTCACGCCCCCACCGCTGTACCATACTGTGCCTCCCCCCCCTCCCCACAGGGGCTCTGCCATCGCCAAGATCGTGGGTGGCAATGCAGCTCAGCTGGCAAACTTCGACCCAAGGGTGGCCATGTGGGTGTTTGAGGAAGACATCGGGGGCAGGAAGCTGACAGAGATCATCAACACACAGCACGAGAATGTCAAATACCTGCCAGGGCACAAGCTGCCCCCTAATGTGGTGAGCCCTAACACCTAGCAAGGGAGAGGGGGAAGGAAGGCTGAGGAGGGGCAGAGCAGACTCACCAGGGGTCCCTTGCTGAGAGGGACCATCCCAGGTGGCAGCTGCACCTGGAAAGCTTCTGCACAGCACCTGTTTGATAGCCCCCAAACAGTTCCCTGGCCTCTTTCTGGGACTAAGGAAAACCCGAATGCATTTCTGCCCCCTTACCAGGGGTGGATCACCCAATGACGATGTAAGCGCGGGCTTCCTTATGCTTACTCAGATGAGTAAACCCATGCTTACTTTGCTTACTGGGCACTCTGTCAGGGATTGTAAATTTGAAAAAAAGAGGCTTTGATTCTGTAGGAAGGTGCTGTGGGGGTGGGAGACAAATGCCAGCCATACCTAGAAGCAGAATTTTTGATGTGGTGAAAAAATGTGAAATTATTCACTACAGATTAGTAAGTAAGCATAAGCAAGCAGTGCTTACCTTGCCTACTGAGTAATCTAATGCTGCCCCTTACAGGCTCCCAGGTGGGAAGGAGAGGAGAGGATGAGGAAGTTGGTCTCCATGGCAACCACAGACTGATTCTTGGGCTCCCAGATTTGGGGTCTGGTTAGTGCCACCTCAGGCTCTACTCCTGTTACTCATTTACTGGGTTATCAGCAGACTTAGAAGCTGCTTCTTGGACTTAAGGTCTTTGGTCAAAACCATGTGGCTTTCCCAACACCTGGAAAGGAGAAGCAGGGGAGGGAGCAGGAAGATCTAAGACTTCCCCTTCTCAGCTGGGTGCCCTAAGGAGCACAGTGATGAAATTTTACTCAGCCTCTCCCTTCTGCCAAGCTGGGGCCTCCTTTGGCCTCTCTCACTGTCCCACAGCCAATGGCTGGGAGAGAAGTGGGAAGAGGTTTCCAAGAGTCCTCAAGAGTCCAGGTCAGCAAGAACTGAGAGAGAGTAATGGCTGGAGGAAGGGAACTGAGTGTCTTGTTCCTCTAAGTTCAGCCCCTTCCAGATTCAGTCCCTAAACTTCCATTTCTTCTCCTTCATAGCCTCACTCTTTGGCTCCCAGATCTCCTGAATGGAGTTCCATAGGGGTTGAGAGAGGAGGTCTGCCAGGTCCATAAGCACCTGGTCACCCCCACAGGTGGCTGTCCCAGATGTGGTCCAAGCTGCAGCAGATGCTGACATCTTGATCTTTGTGGTGCCCCATCAGTTCATCGGCAAGATCTGTGACCAGCTCAAGGGCCATCTGAAGGCAAAGGCCATTGGCGTATCTCTAATTAAGGTGCCAGGGACACCGTCATGTTGATGGGGGTGGGGAAGCAGTGGTGCTAACTGGTGTGGGGCTTAGAGTGAGTGCAATGAGAACAGAAATGAGAGTACACCAAGTGTTTTCAGAGAGATTTGGTTTGGGGAGGCTTGAGAAAGCAGTCAGATGCTGGGATCCGTTGGGAAGAAAGAGGCTGATTAGGTAGTAGGTAAGAGACTGGTTTGGAGGCAAAGGTCTTAGGGGAGTTGAGGGGGTATAGAAGGGATGCCTGGGTGGCATGAAAAGTAGGCTGGTTTGAAGAGCATGAAAGAAGAGTTGGTTCAGAGCAGTGACCACCGGGATGGAAGTGTGACTAGGGAACTCAGAAGGGGAGCTGAGAGATGTGGATGAGCTGTGATGCCTTGGAAAGAAAGTAGGTTGGTTAAGAGTATGTGGATGGGGTTTTCAGATGGATTCCTTTTCCACACTTTGTCTGCTTTCCTCACAGCCCACTTTAGTGGGGTTGGAATGGGGCAGGACCTCTGGGAAGGAATACAGATGAATAGTGGATTTGGAAGGGGCAGGATTTCTAGGTGCAAAGTCCTCATGTGGGTATAAAGGGCACCTGGCCTGAGCTCCATCCTGTGCCCAGGGGGTAGACGAGGGCCCCAACGGGCTGAAGCTCATCTCTGAAGTGATTGGGGAGCGCCTTGGCATCCCCATGAGTGTGCTGATGGGGGCCAACATTGCCAGCGAGGTGGCTGATGAGAAGTTCTGTGAGACAACCATTGGTGAGAGCCCCTCTCCACCACCCACATACACAATGCAGCTCTGATGGCATCCCTTCCCCCATACTCCTTCCCACCCACCTAGTCACCTCCTTCCCATAAAGCAGGGACAAGAAGTCCCAAATATCAGAGGAGAGGGAGGGCTGGGATATACCCCCAGGGAAAGAGGTTGCAGGGCCTGCTTAGGACAGGTGTAGGAAGAACAGTCAGAGTCCTCCCTCCAAAGCTTTGCCCACTGCCTGTTTTAGGCTGCAAGGATCCAGCCCAGGGACAGCTTCTGAAAGAACTGATGCAGACACCCAATTTCCGCATCACTGTGGTGCAAGAGGTGGACACAGTAGAAATCTGTGGAGCCTTAAAGGTGAGAGGGGCATAGAGGAAGTCATAGAGTGGGAAGGGCCCAAAGGTGGTGCTCAGCTTAGCTACCCAGGGTTGCTGGTGCTCCAGGCTCTCACTCTTGGGGAATTGCTCCTGGTACCGAGAGTCCCATAACATAAGGAAGAACTGCAATAGCAAGGCCAAGGTCATTTAGGCCTGCCAGTTATTCATCATCAGACACTGGGGACCTTTCTTCCCTTTTCCCTCTAGCCCCTTATGGGCCATCCCTGTCCCTGGTTCCAGGGTTCCAGGGGATGGTTCAAGGGGAAGAGGAAATGCCCTAGGGGAGCTCCCAGGCTAATGGGAATCAAGATAGCCATGACATCTAGACAGTGTGATGGCCAGAACTATGGATCCTGGACACTACTCAGAGCTGTGGACATTGGGGCTATAGAACAGAATGGTCATAGATGGACAGGCCAGCTGGAAAGAAGAGTAGTTTTCATGAAATGTCTTCAAGGATGGAGTACAGAGCAGGGCAGGGAGCCAGGAAGCACAGGCATAGTCTAAGAGAAGTAGGGTACAGAGAAGGAAAGCCAAGAGGTAGAAACAGTTTAGGGGTCCATATACTATATACTTCACTTATGCATTGGCTGTACCATGCTGATGTAAGGAGCATGAGGCAGGTGCTGAAAACTCTAACTGCTGAGGAGTCCTCTTCTCACTCATAACTTTTATTCCTCAAAGAATATAGTGGCCGTGGGGGCTGGCTTCTGTGATGGGCTGGGCTTTGGCGACAACACCAAGGCAGCGGTGATCCGGCTAGGGCTCATGGAGATGATTGCCTTCGCCAAGCTCTTCTGCAGTGGCCCTGTGTCCTCTGCCACCTTCTTGGAGAGCTGCGGTGTTGCTGACCTCATTACTACCTGTTACGGAGGGCGGAACCGCAAGGTGGCCGAGGCCTTCGCTCGCACAGGAAAGGTGTGGCCCAGGGAGAAGGGAGAACAGAGGGTGGGCCCTGTCAAGATAGAAGTGTTAGGCAGAAGACACCTCCTGAGCAGAAACATTAAGACTGTTTGAACATTCTCACCCCTTCTTTCCAAAGACCCCACCTATCATCTGAGCCCCTGACTTTCTACCTCCTATTGACAGCCCTCCTCTCCTACTGCCACCCTTCCCCTACCCTGTTGCCTTCACAGTCCATTGAGCAGCTGGAGAAAGAAATGCTGAATGGGCAGAAGCTGCAGGGGCCCCAGACAGCCCAGGAGCTACACAGCATCCTCCAGCACAAGGGCCTGGTGGACAAGTAAGTATCTGCTGCAAGCCCGCTGGTTGAGGGGGCCACAGCCAGGAGTGTTCTCCCTGTCCATCATTTCCTTGGACCCTCCACCATCTGTGAAATGGGAGAGAGGGAACTACTACCTGTGTTCACAGATAATGAAATCAGAACTTGGAGACCTTCTGTGATATACCTATTGTCTCTTGGCTAGTTCAAGTCATCAGATTTGGGTCTTCTGAACTCCTTCCAGTCTGGTATTCTTTACTCTACATTATGGGGCCTCTGTGGAGCCTCTCCTTTCTGTCTTTTCCTCCTTGTCCTCTGCTATGTGGCTTGGAGCTCGGGGACACCAGAAATAAACCCATCGGACTGTAGCACTTTTATGTCTATCAGCCCCCATCTGAGCCTCTCCCTCAATGCTAACCCTTCTCTCTCCTGGGTGCTGAGGTATGAGGAGGATGGTCTCTGCTTCAGGGAACACAGAAGAGAGCTGGGGTGATTGGGCTGATCAGAGCAGAGCTCTGTTGATGTGGGAAAGAATCCTAGAAGAAGAGAGTATGAAACAGGGTTCAAAAGATCAGCTCATGGCTGATTAGGGTAAAGCCTCCTGGTAAAGGGAGCAGCCTCGGCAAGAGGATGAGAAAGAAGGAAACTGGCAATTACTGAGCACCTTCAATCTTATCTTCACTACTTTGTTATATGGGCCCTGTTTTATAGTGGATAACACTGAGGCTCAGGAGGTTTGTCTAATTTCAGCAAAACATTTAAGCCAGGGAGTCATGCCGGCAAGTTCAGTTAGAGAGGGAGCAGAGCAATTAGCAACCTGACCCTAAAACCCAGGGCTAGAGAGTTGAAACTCTCAGCAAGTGGAAACTGAGAGCCAGAGTCAGCCTGAGCTAGAAGGTGGACCGGTAGGAGAGTGGATGGAAATGGGGTAGACAAGGAGTGTGTTGTTGGGGGATGCAGACATGGAGAGGATGATTAAGCTAGGCTTCTCCCTCTCCACTCTAGGTTCCCCCTTTTCACCGCTGTGTACAAGATATGCTACGAGAGCCAGCCAGTGGCTAAATTCATCACCTGCCTACAGAATCATCCAGAACACTTGTGAGCAGGCCTGGGGCTGAGGCCAGGCTGCTGCTTTACCCCAACAAGGACAGGCAGAAGCTTGGGGCACCTGGCCACCATGATCTCCAGGACTCCCCATGGAACAGCCTCTTCTCAGCTTTTCACTGGAGAATAAGAGGCTCTGGGGCCCAGCTATTCATCTTGAGATCCTGAACCCCCTAAGAAGCCTGCAGCCTGGAGACACCACATCTTGGCCAGAAATGGCATACTCTGTCCCTCTCCAGATGTGAGGCTTTCTTTCTCTCTGTCTTCTGATAAAGGCAGGACCAAGCCCCATGGCTGCCTGCTTGGCAGGGGTGGTGGGGCATGGGCAAGTGCTGCCAGTTGCTGCCTCATACAAACCAGGAATCCTGTTCTCAAGCCCAGTTAAGTGGCTAAAGAAGTACCACAGCCACAGGAGGGATGAGGCAAGGGCTACCAGGGAGGGTCTGGGTTTTTTAGCTGACATAGGCCCTACGGGCCCCTTGGCTTTGACCTCTGCGAGGCCCCACACAGCATCAATGGATCTCAGTGTTAACAAAATACAAAGATCTCAAACAAGCCCCTTCTAGCTTCTCCTAGCAACATGTGCGTCCTCATAAACCTCTGGTCACTCCCTGTCCCCTCCCCCAGGCTGCCCTGGCACCACAGTTGGTGTCACACTGGCATCTTTGGCCCCAGGGCTTGCCACTCTCCCCAGAGACTTCCCAGTTCTAGTTGCCAGTTCCTCCTCATTCTGTGTGACCTTTCCAAGCCTTCACTCCCCCTCCCCCTCAGCACCCTCTTTGGGGAGAGCAACTTAATCTGCTGACAGAGCAACACCTTTTCATAGCAGGCTTGGGATCACTCAGCTCCCTGTGACCTTTGTATTTGCCCAGCCTCCCTTCTCAGAAGCTCTAGTGGGGGAGGTGTCTGTTGGGCCTGTCCTGCTACTATCTCCCTGGAGGACATCTCTGATTCCACCCTTTCTTCCTCTCAAACCCTATACCTCTTTCTTAGCTGCCCCCAGAGCAGCCAAGACAGCCAACTAGCATCTGACACCTGGAGGCTACAGTAGAGAGGAGGAAAGGCTTAGCAGGGACAGGGAGAAAACTGTGAGCTGGTTCCCAGGTGGGTGGATCCTGAGAGGCCACACCTCCTTTCGAATGAAGGCCTTATCATGGGATATTGACCACATCAGTTACCCAGGAACTGGGAAACTCAAGGAGGAAGAACAAATAAAACCACTTCAAGCTTTGGGGTGAGAAGGTAGGCCAGGACAGGCAGGAGGGAGAGGAGTGTGCTCTGCACTGGCCTTCCTCCAGGATGGGGTGGCAACAAGGGAATGTCACAGGTCAGCAGCCTGGGCCCCTGGCTATAAATAGTCCCCAAGGACAGAGAGACTCTTGCCATAGCCAGCAGAGGATCTCAGGGCTTGTGTGGCAGCACTTGGCACACTGTTGCCCTGGCCAGCATTATGTTAACCCTCCCATAATCCACTGCCATCAAGTGGATTCTGACTCACAGCAAACCTACAAAGACAGAGTAGAACTGCCCCATAGGGTTTCCAAGGCTGTAAATCTTTAGGAAGCCGACTGCCTCACCTTCTTCCAGTAAAGTGGCTTTGAACCACCAACCTTTTGGTTAGCAGCTGAATGCTTTAACTACTGTGCCACCAGAGCTCCTAACCCTCCCACACTCCATACAAACTGGGTAGGTGGGCTCCTCTCAGGCCCTAGCCCTTGAGAGTTTAGTCTTGCTAGTAGTGAAAGGCAGCAAGGTGGCTGAGGGGCACAGTCACTCCACGCCTAGCTGGGCCCAAGTCAGGCACTGAAACCAGAGCTGTCTCCCCAGGGAGTCAAAGCCGGCCCCAAAAGACCAGCTCCCTTTCCTTGGTTGGGAATGTGTTCACTCCACAGATAACTATGAATGGAGGCCTGTGAGTCAGGCCTTCATGTCCACCCAATAAAACGTGTTTTTTTTCCAGAAATGAGTTGAGGAAGGGAGCTTCAGCACATGGGGCATTTGCGTATGCTGTCGTTAATCAATGAATGTGCGAGTTTTCATAACTCACATCCCAAAGCACTGTTTTTTGGTAGGTAAGGTGAAAATCAAAAAAATAATTCACCTCGATAATCACTGCTCCCAGCAGCGATGCGCATTCAGTCCCCATCCTGTCCCCCACCCCCTTCCCCCAAAACTGGGTACCCACCCCCACCTCGCAGCCTTCGGGTGCTCTTCAGGGGTGGTATCATGCCGCCTGCAAGCGGGGAGGTTACATACAAGACGTTAGAGGTTCGTTCACCGTGCCCACTCCTCCGTCGTCAATTCCGACTCACCGCGACCTTACAGAACAGAATCGTCGCATAGGATTTCCTAAGCTGTTGCAATGATGGGCTCAAGTATAGCAGGGATTGTGGGGCTGGCGCGGGATCGGGCAGTGTTTCGTTCTGCTGTGCATGGGGTCGCTATGAGTCGGAAACGACTCGACGGCACTTAACAACAACAACAACATCTTTACGGAAGCCAACTGCCTCATCTTCTCCCGCGGAGGGCTAGTGGATTTAAACCGCCGACCTTTTGGTTAGCAGCTCAATGCTTTAACCACAGCGCTATTAAACTCCCACTCTGTCATGGTGATGGGCCAATCTGCCGCACCCTCTGCGGTTCCAGCCTCGCGATGCCGGTTAGGCTCCTACCTGAGCTCGGTGGGCAGACTCGCTAAGGGAAGAGGGCAGCTCCAGGCTCTAGGGGGCGCGCGATGAACCTCAGAAGGTGACTTCGAGAAAATCTACCTAGCTCCTGTTGACGTCACCGCGCTGTACGCTGAGGACTGGCGGGTTCTTTCCAAATCTGAGAGAATGATCAAGTCCATTCTACCTTGACTGAGTATCCTAAAAATTCCGGTTCTAGAAACTTGGTCATCAAAGACCCGCTTTCAATGGAGAATGACTACAACTCCCAGAACTCAACGGGATTCTCAGAGAGAAAGTCTCCTTTAAAGATAAGTAGTAAAGATGGCTGCCTCGGAAGCCGGAAGTGGAAAAGAAGCAACCAGCCGGAGAAGCAGCTGGCACCGGTTCCCGCCTTAGTAGGCGGGCTTGTGCTGTGTCAAGCGCATGGTTTTCTCCGGTTGGGAACTAAATTCTAGAGGGTAAGCGAGGCAGATGGGAGGGGGAAAAGCTCGATTTCCGCGCCAGTAGCTAGGCATTCAGGATTGTCCCAGGGCTGTTACCCTCACGTCTTTAGTTCCGGGTGCTGTTTTCTGTTGCGGTACGAAATTGCGGAGACCTTAACAGCGCTACGCTACGTGCTGAGGCCTCGGTTGGACAGGAGGGTGTTGCAGCATCCAGGTACGCCACCTGCAGGGGTCGGCCAGGGGCTTTCTATCCGCTTTTTGAGCGCTGACTTGGAGCCAACACTTTGCTTACCACATCCGTCCACCCGCCTAGTCTTTAGGCTCGGTGCCCTTGAGGTCACGGGCATATTCTGCGAGAGCCTCTGCCCGCGATCTCCATCCACAGCTTCCAGTTCACCCTCCTTGCTGGTGCAGAGCAGCCTTGCTAAAGCGCAGCGCTGATTGCCGGAAACCTTGGCTCCAGCTTTGTGGTTTAGCGCTTCACGTTCTAACTTTGAATAATCCCTCTTTGCCTTCTGGTCCGCTGCACCCCGCTCCGTGGAGTTTCCGATACCTTTTATGCATACTGGTTATCTCCTTTCCTTCTTTTGCTGCTCTCCTCCTCCCTCTTCTTAGCTGGTGTAAACATTCTCATCCATCTAAAAAGACACTCCCTGCCTCCATCTTTCAGCTAATTTTTCTCGAGCCTTCGCCTAGGCATGGCTCTGATCTGCACTCTCACAATGTCTCTTCTCTGGTTTGGTCATCTACTGCCTTCTACCTCGTCTCACAGATTTTGCGGTACATATCCCCAAGGAGTTCTGGTGGTGCAGTGGTTAAGTGCTTGGCTGCTAACCGAAAGGTTGGCGATTTGAACCCACCAGGCGCTCTGTGGGAGAAAGATGTGGCATTCTGCTTTGGTAATTTACAGCCCTGGAAACGCTGTGGGCAGTTCTACTCTGATCTATGGGTCGCTAGGAGTCCGAATCAAGTGGATGGCAACGAGTTTGTTTTTTGTTTTATCTAATCCCCATCAGGCTGTAAACTCTTGATACAGAAGCCATGTTCTTCTCAGCGACCTTCATAGCATGAGGTGCTTTACGTTTGGAGTAAAAAGATAGAGTGAATCTAAACTGAAGGGATGGACCTATCGTTTGAAGGATGAGTTTTCTAGGGGAGAAACCTGATCATTGAGGTTTTGTTTGAAGTCTTCATATTGGCCCCTGACTCAGGGCAACCCCATTCATGACAAAACTAAATGCCACCCAGACCTGGGTCATCCCCGTAATTGGTTACAGATCCCACTGTTAGGATCCACAGGGTTTTCACCGGCTGATTTTCAGAAGTCGGTTGCCAGGCCTTTCTTCCTAGACTGTCTTACTCTTTTAAAAAAAAAAAATTTCTTGTGATTTGGTGAGTTTGCGGAGCGAATTCATTTTCCACATAGCGTTCATACACATTTTGTTTCACGACATTGACTGCAATTTCTCACTTCCTCCTGAAGTTAGTTCCCTCCTCCTTTCTAGATTGTCTTATTCTGGAAGCTCCACTGAAACCTGTCCAGCATCATAGCAAGAACACTCAAGACTCTGTGGTCGGGTGGTGGCCGCACATGAGGTGCACTGGCCAGGGACCCAACCCTGGGCTTCTTTGTTATAGGGGAGAATTCTGCCACTGAGCCTCCAGTGCTTCCTTATGTTTACCAAGAAAACCCAAACTCACTGTCATCGAGTTGGATCCGACTCATAGCGATCCCTCCTTGGGTTTCCGAGGCGGTATCACTACGGAAGTAGATTGCTCAGCCTTCCTTCTGAGGAGTGACTGTTGGGTTTGAACTGCCAGCCTTTTGGTTAGCAGTCAAATGTCTTAGGCACCACACCACCAGAGCTCCCCTTATGTTTAGGAGGCAGGAAAAGAGAGAACTACATAACCTTTGCAGGTTTCACCCCTATGGCATCTTCAATAACAATTCTTCCCCTTTATTTCTGTTTTTCTAAAATCTTCAGTTCAACTCCATCCTCCCACAATAGACAGACAACCTTGTGCTTATTAAGAAAATGGATTTTCCTCAGATAAGAATGTTCTGCTAACCTCAAAAATTTTCCTTCATTTCCAGGGTTAATCTTTCTACCTGGGTTTTTAATTTCATCTTTTCCTGGGCCAACTTGGATCTTGATCCATTTCCCCACTCTACATTTCTTTTACTTTAGTCTAGCTACTGTCTTCTTCCCACTGAATATATTAAGATCTTTATTAAAAAACAAACTGAAACTAAAATTCTTACCTTCTCAAGCTACTTCTGCCCATTCCCTTAACCAGTATATCAGTGATTCTTGTCTTTGGGGCTTAGGGATTATGAGCCTTCTGATCATTTGTTACTCTCTGTCCTAGATGATGCCTATATTGCTGATTCACAAGCAGTGCACTAAACTGACTTCCACCCAGGGCTTACCAGTGATCTAGTTGCCCATTCCCACCAGTGGTCCCATCTGTCCATCTTCATGGCACTTAACTTTGCAGTAACAGTTCTCAGCTTTTATTCTGTTCCACCAAATCCAAAGGACACAGCACACCTCCATCAGTGGTGGTGACTTAATATTAGCAAGTTGAGTTTTCATTCAAGAAGGGAAATGTAGTTAAAACCCCCCACTCCAGATGTTTCTGGATTTCCCCTGGGAATTTCCTACCCATGTTTTTTACCTGTTTCCATCTCCAAAGAGTTGTTGCTTTGGATTCTCTCACTCGCCTCTTATCCTCTACTTTGGTGTCATCTATTACCTTGATCTGTATCTCTGGCCTTGTCTCTCTTCCAAGCTCTGCCCCGATTGTTTCCATCTGCCTGATAGACATCATCCCATGACTGTTGTGTTAAAAACCAAACCCAACTCACTGTCATCGAGTCAGATCTGACTCAGCGACCTGTCCTTGGGTTTCCGAGGTAGTATCACTATGGAAGTAGATTGGCCTTCTGAAGAGTGGCTGGTGCATTTGAACTACCAGCCTTCTGGTTAGTAGTCAAATGCCTTAGGTGCTACGCCACCTGAGCTCCTGAATGTTGTGTTAAACATCTTAATTTTAACATGTCCAAAACCCAGCTTATGATCTTCTTGACCAACACTCCTGCCCCCTTCCCTGCCATGCTCACATAGCAACACACACACATTTCTCATTTCTGTTGACAGAATCCAAATTGAAGAAGTTTCCTAACTTGCTACCTTTTCAGCTTTGCCTCACAACTTCTAATCCATTCAGTTGGTGAGTCCTATTCTACTTCCAGGAGTTCTGGTAGCATAGTGCCAGACTGCTAACCAGAAGGCTGGCGGTTCAAACCCACTAGCCACTCCTCAGAAGGAAGGTTGGGCAATCTACTTGTGTAGTGATACCACCTTGGAAACCCAAGAGGGGTCACTATGAGTCAGGTTCGACTCGACAGCAGTGAGGTTTTTTTTTTTTTTTTTTTTTTTTTTTTAAATTCTACTTCCAGAATAATTTCTGTATCTGTCCTCTGCATTTCTACTGCTACTGCCTTGCCATTGTCTGGGAATTTTTTTTTATTTTATTTTTTTTTATTGTGATTTGGGTGAAAATTTACAGAGCAAATTCACTTTCCATACAGCAGTTCACATACACTTTGTCTTATGACATTGACCACAATTTACCACAATACAGCATTTCCCCTCATACTTCCTCCCGATAGTTACGTCTTCCCTGTGTCCATCCCTCCATGCACTCCTGCCCCCTGAGTGTCTGGGAATTTTGAAGAGTTTTTGTTAATTTGAAAATAGAAGAAACCCTCCTGTAATCAAGATGGATTAGAGACAAGAGAAGGCAGTAAGGTTCTGTATACCAATATTCCCACTAAAAACCCACTGTCACTGAATCTATTCTGACTCATAGTGATCCTATAGGTCAGAGAAGAACTACCTCTCAGAGTTTCCAGGCTGTAAATCTCGATGGAAGCAGACTGTCTCATTTTTCTCCCGTGGAATGGCTGGCAGGTTCGAACCACCAACCTTTTGGTTAGCAGCCAAATGCTTTAACCGCTGCACCACCAGAGCTCCTCGACACCAGGATTACATCTATGTTATTCAGTCTTCTGTTGCTCTTCTAGCCAACCTGTACTGTCCTGTTGGCTGGTGAATTCATCCCTCCTCTTCCTATAGGACAGGGGGGTCCTACAACTGATTAACGTCTGGTCAGGCTCAGTGTAATGGGGGATGGAAGGGGAAAGAATAAGGGAGGCGGCGGCTGAAGGCTACAGATCTAAAACTTTTTTCTGGGTGCTCCTTTCCCACCTTAATGGCCTACTCTGTGCTCATGTTTTCTTTACTGTCTTGTGCACAGCTTGGTAGCCTGTCAGACTTCAGATAATCTGAACACAGCCCTTTCTTGTCTTAAATTTGTGCCATTTGTTTTTTTCCCTCTGACCTCATTTAATGCCACTTTCTGTAGTTACTTGAAATTATAATTCAGAGAAGCTATGCCTCGGCTCAATTAGGGGTCCACCATTAATGGCTGGGGCAAAGGCAGTGTCAGCTCCTTTGGGCTCACTCTGTGGAGCGCTTACATTTCTTACCCCGATCCTGACCCTCAAATCCGGTTAATCCTGAGCTTTTCTCCCACATTTTTGACTTTGAAGAAACGTTTTTTCACTAGTTTCAATTCCTTCAACAGAGAGTAGTCTAAGAACACATTCATAGTCTCAAATAGAGAAACATTTTGTTCAGGATGAGGGATTCCCATACTAAACTTTCTCTTGTTCTTTAGCTCAGAATATCCAGGGAATAATTAAATTGGAAAGAATTTATCTCATATAAATGTAAGTTAACAATTTGCTAGGATCCAGTGAGTTTCATTTTAGCCCTTGGGATAGGTTCTTGGTGTTAAATTTGGAATTTAGAATTAATGATACAGAAGGTTAAATGTAATTGAAATGATATAAAACTACTGTTGGCACTATTTCAGGTATATTACAGCTTAAACAGATGCTTGAGGGCTAGCCTGGGAACCTAACCACCATGAATAAGATGATTTTTATGGGAAAATAAATGGGATATTGCCTGGAAGGTTCCCATTTGATCTGCCTAGAGAGAATAATTCACTGCTAATGTTTAATCCCTAACTATCTCCATTAACTCCCCACTAGCCAGAAAAACTGTCCCATGCTTCAAATAATGTACCAGTTAAGGACATTTCTAAATAGTCTGTACCAGTCACTTCTGTACACAAACATGGAGGGCCAGTGCTAGCTGTAATGTTATTCAGATGCATCTGGTTTCAGCCTTGAGTTCCCAAATTATATTTTCTCAGTCTCCTTATAAGGCTGTGCTCTACGTGTAGGGACTATTCAGTATAGAGGCAGACAGACTAAGCAGAAATGGGAAGTTCTCGAATGACCTTACAGGGAAGTAGACTGAGCAGGTAAGACCTCATCTTTGGGTCTGATTCCAATCTGTGTTTGTAGGGGACGACATGCCAACTGCTAAGCAGCTAGCCGACATTGGCTATAAGACCTTCTCCACCTCCATGATGCTACTCACTGTGTATGGGGGCTACCTCTGCAGCGCCCGAGCCTACCACTATTTTCAACGGCGCAGCTCCCAGCGCCAGGCCGCAGAAGAACAGAAGACCTCAGGAGTCCTGTAGGAATGAGAGCTCTTTTTCCTTAGCAGAGAAGCCTGAGACACGCTGTGGAAAGACCTCACCTGCAACTATTTCCAAGTTAAGAAGACTAGGGCCTTGATGGTTTTCATACTTTGCTGGAAGAAGGTGTCCATGTTTTCTCTAGTACTGCCAGTTTGAGAGGCTAATGAATCATAATAGGAGTGTGAGAGTGAGATGTACCTATAAACATTAAATATTCTGCCATGTTTGTGTCTTAGTGTTTTTGTTGACCCAGATAGGGTCTGGATCACAGAAGGGGGACCTTGACTACCAGTTTTCTGGTGACAGACAGAATTTCCATAGCTTAAGCTCTTATCACCTGTGGAGTGGTGGTGGTGGGGGCACATACAATTTTGGGACACATGAGGTTGCCACGAATTGGAATTGACTTGATGGCCATGGATTTGGGTCTTTTGTTGTCATTCTCGTTGGTATCCGCTCTCATGATCTCAGGGAAAAGACTGTCTAACATCTTTATCAATCCCCTGAAAGGATTCTCTAAAAAGCTCTCTGGTCAGTGACTGTTGTGGACCAATTACTGTGTCCAGGTGATGGGTGCTCTGACTGTCAGGACCACACATGCATCTGTGTCAAGAAAGTAGTGGCCCTTGTTTGATAGCCTGTGTTCTGGTTACCTAGTGCCACTCTGACAAGAAATATACCACAAATGGGATGACCTTAACAAACAGGAGTTTATTCTTACAATTTAGAGGCTTTAAGTCCAAGTTCAAAATGCCAGGCTCTACGGGCTGGGTGAAAGCCCCTCAACCTTGGGGTCCAGCTCTGCCTCTTGCTCCTGGCCCACTGGAGCTAGAGTCTTTTCTTCATTCAGACAGCTACTGGCTGCTGAGGCTGAGAAGCTGTGTTAGACTGGGTTCTCTAGAGAAACAAAAACCAGCAAAGCTTATATATATATATATAAAGAGAGGGATAAATTTATCTTAGGAAAATGGCTCACAAACATATAGAAGCCGGCAAGTCCAAAGTCCCTGGAGCAAACGTCAAGCTGGAGGCTTTCCCTGGCTCCCACAACAGCAGGGGCCGAGAAGCTCAAGGCTGGCAGGCAGTACACCGGCTGTAGACTCCAACAAATGACGAATCCAGGATCTCCAGGCTAAATGGTGGACTGCTCACTCATGGACAGTTGTAGGCAGCACAACAGAATCCCGATCCACAGAAGAGTGTCTCTCTTCCCAGGATGTCCCTGGATATCCTGGAAGCAGGCCGCACCCCTAGGGAAACTCCCCTTGAACAGATTGGCCACTCAGAACACAGTCATCTGATGCCATCATGGGAACAACCATACAGAACTGGGGTCCAGCCAAGTTGACACACAGCTCCAACTATCACAGTCCACCCCTTGTGAACTTGGCAGTTGTATACATCTTCTTAACCATATATAATCTCTAAATAAGGGCAATTATAAAGTCATATTTGTGCCTAACATGATATGCTAATACACATATAACCAAAATGCATTAATCTTATTTACATTTCACAGTTCATAACAGAAGGAAACAAAAATATTTGATGCACATAAACAATGAAAAAATAGAACAATCACAGTCCTTGTTTCTGCAGCTGGTCACGTGGTCATAGCTGATATTCAGAACTATCTTCTTCCACCACCCAGTCTGTATTTCCCTTGCCCTCAGCAAGCACCTCAGCTGGTTGTGGTTCTTTGCCTGGTGGGGTGACCCAAACCTTCATTCCTGAAGGGTCTGGGCCGTTAGCAGTCAAATCAGAATTGGGTTGCTGTAATTTTCCATTGATTTTAATCACAGGGCATGGTAGTACTAAGAGACATCCTAAAGAATCTCCTGTATTCCAGATATATTCTTTACCTCCATTATGTAACAATTTCCCCTTGGTAATCAGGATCTATCACACTAGATAGCACAGTAATGCCCTTCTTTGTTGATCCAGAGGCAGGAAGCCAAAACGGCCAGGTGGCATTCTTAATTTCCAGTTCAATGCAATCAGTATTGTGTCTCCAGGTGGGAGTGTTCCTCC